TGGACTTGAAAAATGATGCCAATGTCTCATCGCCGAGGTGAACAAGAGACTTGAGGCAAGATATGTGCAAGTCTAGGTTAAAAGCTAGTAGCGGAGAAATATATGCAATTTCCTGGTCCAGCAGTAGAGTGTCATCCGGAGGAAACTTGCATGAAGGCAGGAGAAGCATTGTAGGGGAAGAAGCAGAAGTTGCTTGTTTTACACTAGAAGTATGGGGATGGTCCTTCGGACGATCCAGAACAACCACCTGGGCAACCCTTGCCAGATTCGTCTCAATGTTCTTGACAAGCACCTAGCAGGAAAATCAAAGAATCATCCCTGTCAGAAGATACTTCAATCCAAACAGCCAATTACATACATCGCCGAAGAAATACGAGAAACTTGCGCGAAACACAGAACACCAATCTTGACGAATTCCCTATCAGTCTGAAATAATTTCTCAAGATTGACCTAATTGAATTCCAGAGAATGGTCTAAGCAGGCGAGGAAAGCTCACCAGGGAACCGGACGTTACTGCGAGCTTCTTGAGAGCAGAGAGCGAGAGCCCAAGCAAAGCAGAACCATCGAGAGATATTGGTTTGGAGTCAGAAACGTTTGTTCTGTCCAAAGAGGAACGGAGAATTCCACATGGCAGCTGTAGGGTGTGGAAGAAACACTGACCGGCGAGCTTGCCGTCAGCGGCGGCGTATCGGTCGCCTTGATCACCGAGCTGGGAGGAAGTGAGAAGAGAATTAACGAGGACTTTCGTTGAAGAAAGTATCAGCGGCTTTCTCCTGCTCCTTCCCTCCATTGGCAAGTTCACAGTCTTAGCTCAACGGGACAGGTAAGACGGGGAGAGAAGGAAGAGAGAGGCAGGAGCGATTGAGGCGGACGGAAGAGCACTCCAGGCGCTCACATAGAGACGGATACTGCCCAGGCAACGACCATTAACCGTTACACAATTACGCAAATCAATGAAAGTGATGAGCTTTACACCAGTGTCAAAATGTCAAATTTTAGGCTAGTTTAGTAGATTTGATCATTTTATCCCCCCCCCCCCCCCCCCCCCCAAAAAAATTGATCATTTTATTTACATAATTTGTTCAACTCGTCAATTGTATGAGAGCAGTACGATCGTATGCGCAAAAAGAGGTTCATCTCCTATTACGTGTTTGGTCTAATTGCTCTCTGCGGCAAGTTGGCTCGTTAAAAATGTAAACCTTACATAATTTCATGATTTCTTGTTGGTTAGTGGGTCAAATTTGCCATCAAATTTCTCAAATTTGGTACTTTGGAACGTCCATTAGAGGGGTTTTCTTTTGCTTTTTGGAACTTGACCCACCATTGAAGATGGTGGTATAATTGATGACAGATCGAGTCATCGTGGTTCACCAAAAGCACAACCGAATAATGAAAGCAAGTAAAACACACACGATATACTTAGTATCCCCGACATTTGGATAGTCCACAAGAGAGTTTGACCTCTCCGACCTCAGATCTTATTTCGTCTCAAATTGATAGTCGACTACAACACATACAAAGGACATATATGATCCTCATGCAAACCCTAACCCCATGCAACCTCGCTTAGCTTAATGGGTTATATACCAAGTCCCAATAAGTCTAAACAAACCAAAAAAGGACTACATACATATGTGCAAATTGGGCTAAACCAATACGCTCAATAGCTTCCCCCAAATTGATGTTACTAGCGAAGTATCAATTTGCTAGACATGTACCAATAACGACTAGAAGATAAGGCTTTGGTGAAGAAATCCACCACCTGGTCTTCAGCTGACAAATAATGTAGAACCACAACCTCTTCGCGATCTAGATCCCGAATGTAATGAATATGAATTTTGATGTGCTTTGTCCGATCATGCAAGATTGCATTGACAACAATATGAATTGCATTGGTATTATCCACAAAGAGAGGCATAGGCGATACAAAAGAAATGTCAAAATCAGTAAGCAAGCGATGGAGCCAAACACATTCGGACCAACCTTCGACATTGCCCGCTACTCGGCTTCAGTGGACGACTTAGAAACCTTGTCATGCTTCTTACACCGCCAGAAAATAAAGGCCTCCCCAAAACACACACACCATCCACTAATAGAACAATGAGTATCGACACATCCTGCAAAATCATAGTTAGAAAATGCATGCAGCTCAAACTTACCAGCCCAAGGAAAGAAGAGACTTATGTCCTTCGTCTGTTGAAGACAACACAAGATGGTGCACAACAATGAGATGAAAATCACGACCTGAATGACATAAGATATATTTGGACGCGTATTAGTAAAATAAAGTAAAGGCAAAAAACAACTGTATATCCATAACTATCAGGTTTGTGGCAAATATATCCACAACTATCGAAATACACGAAATATCCATTTACGTCCACTCCGTTAACTCCGTCAGTTAACTTGATGACTGGACAGACGGTGGATGCTTAGTTGGCGTGATTCTGACCCCACTAAATGACGTGGATTAAAAGAGAAAAAAAATTTAGGCAAAATACAGTTGTATATCTACAACTATCATATTTGTGATAAATATATCCACAACTATCGAAATACACGAAATATCCAAAAATTGGAAGATTGTGTGACAAATCTATCCACTTTCGTTTGAAACTATAAGGGCGTGTTAGACGACGTTAAATTGACTAATGGAATGTTGAATCGATGCCATCTCACCTGCCACATAAGCCAAAAAGCAACCAAACTTTACACTGTTATCTGTTAGACCTCGCTGTTGCAGTCTTCTCTATTGACGATTTGGTTGGATTCAAGCTTTTTTTTTTTTGTTTGAGATTCAAGCTTGGTATCACCATGGCGCCGACTACATGGAAGTCGTCGGAGTAAGAAGGAGGCAATGGTTGGGGATTGTGGTTGGAATCGAAATCTAGGCTTGGGGTAGGGTTATTTGGTGGTGGAGGCGTTGATCGGAGGAGGATCAGTGGTTATCGGGCGTGTTTCTGGGTTGGATTTTTAGTCTCGCCGTCTTTGGTTTTTAGGGTTTTTAATTTTTTTCTCTTTTAATCCACGTCATTCAGTGGGGTCAGAAACACGCCAACTAAGCATCCACCGTCTGTCCAGTCATCAAGTTAACTGACGGAGTTAACGAGTGGACGGAAATGGATATTTCATGTATTTCGATAGTTGTGGATATATTTGTCACAAACCTGATAGTGGTGGATATATCTGTCACAAACCTAATAGTTGTGGATATATGGCTGTATTTTGCCCTTATTCAACTAGCCTATTTGGCATCTACGTGTAAAGTTTGGTTGCTTTTTGGCTTATGTGGCAGGTGAGATGACATCGATTCAGCATTCCGTTAGTCAATTTAACGCCGTCTAAGTTCTAACACGCCGTTATAGTTTCAGACGGAAGTGGATAGATTTGTCACACAACCTTCCGATTTTTGGATATTTCGTGTATTTCGATAGTTGTGGATATATTTGTCACAAACCTGATAATTGTGGATATACAGTTGTATTTTGCCTAAAGTAAACTCCAAAGAGATATTGGGATCCATCTGCAAGCAACTATCCAATATCATGACTGAGCATGACATTGACTTTCATATGTGAGGTAGCTGACCAACTAGTATCAAAATGACTGTCATTGAGTAAATCAGCAATATACTTATACTTATGATGGTTCGGGAAAATACCAGTTAGTGTCTAATTACAACCATATCATCGACATATATAGTGATAAAATAACAAGACCTGTAAGCCACTACCAAGTGAACAAGGAGGGATCATTTAAGTTTTGGTGAAAACCTAAACCTATGATAGTCTGCTTAAATTTCTCAAACCAGTCTCGAGGTGCGAGTTTGGACAATATAGAAAGTGATGTAACCGGCAGACTTGTGAAGAAGAACCATGATAGTATAGGCAGGTACGCTCCATATAAATAACCTCTAGTATGTTGCCATGGAAAACACATTTTTAACATACAGTTGCAGTTAGAGGTGGCAATGATGATCCATATCAATGAATCCGATCCAATCCGTCCATTAAATTATACAACTAATCCAATTGGATTGGTGGATCCATGGGTTGATTCATAGATCCAAATAGCAAATTATAATTTAGTATCTATACTTTTTATACTTTTCATTCTGGTACCTAAATTTTATTTTTTAGACGAAAAATATCACTCGAAAATTAGGTTTTGGTACATAAATTTTTTATTAAAACATTTTAGTACCTAAACTTTTCAAAATTTACATATTGGTCCAAGACTTTGGATGTCATTTGGATCCATGGATCAATCCACCATTTCATATGATCCAATCTATTACTCCACCAATCCATTTGATCCAATCCACTTTATCCATGGATCCAATCTAATTGCCACCTCTAATTGTAGTAGAAGCCAACATTCCATTGCTGCCACTATAGGTAACAATTTTGCCCAAACTCATGGGTATTTTACTATCCAACCCAATTGGTTAGATATGAGTTCCAAATAGATCGTAAGTAAGTAGAATTTGATGAGTTCATATCATACCCATTTATTTGGATTGGGTTTAAATATATGAATTTTAGTTTGTAAGCACCTTCGACTTCACGGATCCAAAGTTAATTTGCTAATTTAAAGATTCGTTAGCAGATACTAACTGATATCCAAAATACATAAACTAATATCCAAGTACTGAAGTATCTAGAGAGCACAGACTAGTATTCAAAGTTTGCTAACTGATATCCACCATGAATCAACTATTATCTCAAATTCACAAACTAATATCTAGACAATACAGAATAGTATCCAAACAGAACATAATTAGTATCCAGATAACACATAAGAGTATCCATATTGAATACTAGTTGGTTGATTGTGGATATTAATTGGTATCCGCTATCTGGATACTAGTTTGTGATGTTTTGAATACTAGTCTGTGCTATCTAAATACTTAGCATACTTGGATATTAATTCATACATTTTGAATATTAGTTAGTATATACTAACGAATCTTCAAATTAGCAGAATAACTAGGCTGCCTCATTTAAAATATAAAAGCAATATTCATACTCTACTCAAACCCAACTCAAATTCACATTTATAGTTCACTCATGCTCTACCCATAAAATTACCACGGATGGACAATTACCATCCCTAGCCGCCACTGCAATGAAAGTGCAAACTGTATGCATCTTCACCACGAAAATGCTCAGTATAATTAATACCAAACTCTGCTTTTGCATCTAAAACCCTATAACCAAAATACTGAAAGTGTCCGTATTCTACTCTGATTTTGTATCATCAGCCTTCCGCCATGTGTAAGGGCGCGCCTTTGGCTAGTTGGTCCGAGTCTGGGAGGATTGTACCACAGAAAAGTTCCTTACATCTTTCTACCGATTATTGAAGTGTTACTTTGAGGAGCCCCATTCGCATGAGAAATGTATGGGCATAAGATGAGCTTACACCGTGCAACACTTCTTCCCTCCCTTCTCATTTGCAGAAATGTCGATAGGGAAGAAAACTACAATCTTATTGTATGATACAGACTCCCGTCAGTCGACATCCACCAAACTACAGCTACAAACATAAAAAAGAGCAGAGCCGAGCCGACGTCCACCGCATGCATGATGCATCAGTGGCTGATGGCTGGAACTATATACAATACTAGCCACGTGGCGCGTATATATGCCCTCAGATGCAGACACTCCCATCTCATGATGCAGGTTTCTTGGACAGTAGGGTTTCCAAAGACCTAGGGTCAGTAACTGGAGGACTGCAAGTGAAGTTCTGGCAGACGAGACCCACCACCTTATCACCTGAAAAATTCTTCTTCGCCATTTCTGCGATGTTGCTGTTGTTCTCTTCCCAAACCTTCATCTCTTCGTGGTCGGAAGGATCAATATGCATCACCTGTCAACAATAAAGAATCAAGGAGATATATATTACACTCCAGTTCTGCCATAACACCAACACTTTGTCCAGCAGCAGAAGAGAAGCACCAAAGCTCACATTTCTGTTGGGATCGAATGAGGAATGAGCAGCAGCAAGCATGTTCTCAAATTCCTCCGATGACCTGCGGCCGACAAGCACAACTTGGGTCCCATGAGGCAGAGAGCACATATCTGCAGCACAGCACATCAGGGGTACTGCCATAGCCATGTCTTTTAACCGGCCCTCGAAAACTGCCTGCATCGTCATTTACCGCAAGTTTCTCAATAGATTTTCATAATTCGAGAAAACTTAAACACTGAGCAATCATGTGCAGCATTATTCGTACCAATAAATGCTCTGCGTTTTGCCGGTAACGGTTGGATTTATTCCCTGAAGTCATGGATGCCAATCTTATGAGATTAATTGCAGAGACCGAGTTCCCTGAGGGCTCTGCCCCATCGTGGTCTTCCTTCACTCGCAGGAGAACTGAAGGGTCCTCCCCCGTTGTATTAAAGTATCCCCCTCCTATTCTGTCCAAGAACAATTCATCCTGAAAGCAACCAAATAAGTTCCTCCAGTTACAACTGAGCTCACCACAGGAAGGATGGAACTAAGGCAAACTACCCATTTATTTTTACCTGGGTATTCTGCAGTTCAGTGGCCCAAACAAGCCAATTGGTTCGACCACCGTACTGATACAGATCCAACAGCCCAGAAATAAGAAATGCATAATCATCTAAGAAGCCAGGAGCTTTTGATGGACCATTTCTGTAGCTGTGCTGGAGTCTACAAGTCTGTTCATCATACAGGTGCCTTCTGATAAAAGATGCAGCCTTTTCTGCTACCTCCAAGTATTCCTTCGGCTGCAATTTGTACAACCAACCAAGCAAAATGACATCAACAAGATAAAACATATCTATTTTGGTTCAATAGATTAACGACCTAACTTGTGCACTTGCCAGCAACCAAAACTTTTTTTTTTATAGGAAGCCAGCAACCAAAACTTGACTACGCAATCAAGCCAACAAAAAATGCAAGTATCTGAGAAAAAGACAGGTAAGAGCTTACATCACAGCCAGTAAGTGGGAAATTATATCTTGTGCTCGGACTTTCATGCTTCAGAATTTTAGATGCTCTAGCGAACGCTGAGATCGCAAGACCATTCCATGATACAATTACCTAACAAGCACCCAGACCTTTACAATGTGGCATCACAAGCAAATGGATAAAAGAGGAATCACCCTTCTTTTGAAGGGAGGAATCATCTAACAGACTATGATTTTGCAGGATACCTTATCATCCAAATGTGGCCTAGGCCGTCTTGACCTCACTTCAAAGAGCTTTCGCCTGCATTCACCTAGAATCTCGAGATATTTCTCCACAGGCATGTCATACTTTGATGCTAAAGCAAGCATATCATTCAACTCTATCAGTACATTCTTCCCCTTAAATTCGTTGTGTGGATCACTCTTTCTAGAAAGATCACAGTTCCCGAGGGGCTTTATGTAATAATGATCTTTGAAAAGACTTGCATGCTCTCCAAGGATATCGTCGACCTTCCAAGGAAAATCAGAATCAGTAAAGCTAATCGACCTTTTTACTTACCATAAGCCTTACAGTCTATTAGCATTGTCAGAACGACCCAACTAAACCTTATAACTGATAGGACTTATTCTACCGCCAACTAAACTGTGAACTGCATGTTTCTAACTTGCACAGACAAATATTTACAAAAGTAAAGGCACGCAAACAAAGAACCAACATGCAATATGCTAAACCTGAAAAAAATTGGAGATAAGAAAACCTCTTTGCTAGCCCATATGTAGAAAGCTCCTTCTTTCTTCAGTTTATCACCTTCATTCTCAGCACTGTCAGCATCTTCTGCTGATAGTATTTCACCTTCTCCTCCAATCATGTCTCTCCTCAAATAATCGAGGATGTCGCGGCACAAACATGCATAGAAGACATCGTTTGAAATGGTGAAGGCGTCCAAATATACACTAGCAAGTTGACCCTGATCATATAACATCTTCTCGAAATGAGGAACTGCCAGCAAGACGAGCAAAACTCTGGTAAGTCCACAGACCAAAAAGAGCTGTTAACCACAAACCTTCTTTGAGAAAATGATTCCACCTACCATGCCAACGTTCATCCACACTGTATCTGTGGAAGCCACCTCCAACATGATCATGGATTCCTCCTTTTGCCATGCATTGCAAGCTGAACAGAACCATTGCCTGGGTTTCCTTTGCTTGACTTATTTCCCCAGAATCATCCAACTTCTTAGAATAATAGAGCATCAGTTGGATCTCCACGGGTCGAGGAAATTTTGGTGCAGAACCAAAACCACCATACCGTGAATCATAGCTTTGGGAAAGCTGCAAAATCAATGAATCAAAGAAGTGTGACTACTATATCGCTTGATTTTAGAATATGAACGTTCATGCCTTATGTCGATCCTGAAACTAAGAACCATGATAAAGCCCAAATTAGAGCTTCCAAGTTCCAACATCTAGCAGCACAAGAAGACTTAGAGCAGTTGTTGGTTACACTAATAGTAAAATCTCAGACAAATCGAAAGCTAATATCAAGCAGGATAATTGTTGTGATTGGTAAGCCCACGGGAGGCAAGGGAGCCCTACTAATATCGAACACAAAGATAAAAACTGGGTTGGTTTAGAAACTAGCATCAATATCCATACCTGCTCCGCGCACAGACGCAATGCATTTTGTGGAACACCATCTTGAAGTGTATTTGAACTTGCAGTTGCTGATAACGCTTCTGAGAGCTGTTCGATAGCAAAGTTTCCACTTTGAGTCAGCATCTCCCTCTTATTATCCCAAGCATCCTTCACCTTTCTGACAAGAGAAGCAAGTCACTGATCCAGATAACAAAAAATCATCTTGAAGCCATGAGATTGCGAAGAAGCAAACATTAAAATTTCCACTGAAGACACAAAGATGCTAATTACCAATGTCTAAGTTGTGATCTCAAAAGTGTTTTCATATAACTGCTATTCAGAAGTGGTTTACATGACACACACAAAATGAGTGATTATTAAAAATCTCATATAAGAGTTATTCAAAAGTAATAAATATGACATACACGAATAAAACTGCAATCAAACCCGACCGCCCTGACCCCGACCCAGTCAACACGGGGAATCATATGTGGGTATGAGTAAAACCAGCAAAAAGTTTGATGGGTATGGATCAGGTATGGTTTTAGCCTCCCCGCCCCATACCCGTGCCACCAAAAGTATTTCTTCACATGAAATTAGGACATAGGAAAAGTTAGACAGTATGAACTTGTCATTATCTTAGGAAAGTAGACAGATCACAAGGATCAAGGCGGCTCACCGAAGTATTGTCTTAAACCCTGGTCTTCCATACTTATCATCAGGAGGGAAGTAAGTTCCACCCATCAAAGGTTTCAAGTCCGGGGAGAGGAACACGCTGAGTGGCCACCCTCCACCACCATATAAAGCCTGTACAAATGTCATATAGACCTGAAAACAGCAAACCAGCTACTCAGTGGCAATGCTAGTACCTAAAGCAGGCCAACAAACAAACATGCTTACAAATTCGATAACAAAAGAGACATTCGACGCCTTTCTTCTACATCCTCCATGGAAAAGAAACACCTTCCCAGTAACCATTCACAAACAAGAGGACTCACCTTATCAACATCGGGTCGTTCTTCCCGGTCCACCTGCCGCAAATGGAACCGAGTTAACATCATTTCATTTTGAAACAGATAAAACTGTGCAAGGGCATTCGCACCTTGATGCTAACGAACCAGTCGTTCAACAATTTGGCAACTCCCTCGTCCTCAAAAGACTCGACCTCCATGACATGACACCTTGTGAGACAGAGTTCAAAGTTGAAGAAATAACCGAGATATAGAGCCTCAATAAGAAAGGAAAGCCACAGACTTTTAAGAGCATCTTACCAGTGGCATGTGCTGTATCCGACTTTGGGAAGATAGATTACAAGGCAAACAACCCCCAACATCACCGAACAAGATTCAATCAAACATTAAAACCCTTGAACGAAGAGGGATTGGGTAACTAATTTCAGTAGAGAGAACCGAGCAAGAAGAAGGCTAGAGGAGGAGAATACTTGAAAGGAAGATAGGAACGTCTCTTCTCCTTGCTTCAGCGAAAGCTTCCTCGCCCCATGGATACCAATCAACCTTTCACATGCAAACCGTTTTTATTAGATCCCCATTCCTATTAGAAAGCCAAAATAGAGAGGAAGGAATAATTGAGGGGTAACCGGATTATGAGCATGCTGAAGAAGGTAAGGGCTGTGCTCCGCAGCGAGACGGTTGGTGTGGGTGGAAGGATTGGAAGTGTTCCCTTCCGACGGGCGCTCGGCCATGGAAGAGGCGGCGAAGGTACGAAATCGACGAACAAGTGGAAGAGAAGGAGGAATGGAGCGGCGGCGGCAGAGTCGGTGTGCTGGAGAGCAGAGAGCGGCGGCGAGTGAAGTGCGGAGGCAAGAAGGGGATAGGAAGGTTCTGAACATGGGAGATGGAGGGCAATGGCGGAATTGGGGAGACGAGGTGGGAGCAGAAGAATTGTGTAGATTAGTAGAGAGGGTGCGGTGGAGGCGGGAGGAGAAAGGAGCGGCAGAGCAAATGGGGAGGAGACGAGGAGGTGACATTTGGCGATGACTCGGTCTTTTTTAGTTAACCAACACCTGTATGTTTGGAGAGGCTGCGTGTTGTGTGACTGTGATTCCGTCCTGCAGATTATGACACAGAATCCAGTCTGACTCCGAGCATCTCCATCAATGCAATAGTAAAAGAAATTGTGTTTTCAACTTATTTTTTTTTCAATTCACATCTAGGGATGGCAAAAATATCCGTAACCGTGGATATCCGCCCGAATCCGACCTAATCGGATAGGGTAAAACCCGAACCCGAAAGACTTTTAGCGGGTATGGGTAAAACCCGAACCCGAATATTGTGGGTAATGGGTGGGCATGGTTTTCTCACTATCCAACCCGAACCCGCCCGATTATACACATGCATATGTATTTTGTCTAAAAATAATCAATATTTTTCTCTAACATATTTTATATTTAGCATATAAATATAATTTTCTTATGGAATTGTGTTGTTTTAATTAATTTTCTTCATTCTAGTGAATTATTGTCGTACTTTTCGTCTTACGTAACGTGAGAATATGTGTATATATTAACATATTGATTGGGGTTATAAAGAAAAACTATTACCCATGGATAACCGTGGATACCCGAAACCCGAACGGGTATGGGCATGGTTTGGATTTTCTACCCGTTTCTTATGTGGGTATGGGCATGGGTAAAACCCGAACTACTTTGGGTAGGGTAACGGATATGCACTATCCGTCCCCGACCCGACCCATTGCCATCCCTATTCACATCACATTCATTTCATTCACCTATATCAATACAATTAACTTGCAATTGCAAATGTAATTAAATATTATGTTTAAATTATAAAAATTTAAGTAAAAGAAAAAAGAAAAAATTCTCATTTTTGTAGGCTTTTTTGACTTGCATATGGAATTGCATTTGTTGCAAGTTTGCAAATATGCAATTGGTAGCCACATAAATGCAATTGGTTTTGCAATTGCAAACACATGTGTCCTGTCATTTTGCAATTGAGAATGCAATACCAATATGGATGCTCTAATTTAGAGATCTTAAAATCATCAGAATACTTGAAAACATGATTAAGAAAGTATCTCTTTCCAATTCTCTTTTTCTTCAATAAAAAAAATTGGATGGTGATTGTAACCAAATTTAGAGATCTTAGTGTATATGCAAGAGTCAAGACTCCTAACATAAGGAATATCTCCAATGTCTTCAAATCTTCAAATATCAAATTAAGAGTATGAGCTACGCACGAGATCCAATATATATTACCATAGTGCTCATGTATCAATGACTCTGCAGCTCTATAATAGTTGCATTATCAGTCACTGCATACATATATGTATGGCTAACATATGTGTTATGTATAATATACGCATGCGTTCATATCTAATAGGTATAACCGAGTGATGGAAAAAACAAAACTCAAGAACGGGCGACTTCACGTTCTTACTATTGAATGAAAGTGGATGATAATCGAGGGCAACTACTACAAAGTACAAACTAAGCTCTCTACAACACAACCGAGGGCCTCAAAACTTTTTTACCTTAAACATAAAATAGTCTGAACAGAAAAAGATTTGAAAGTCATAACTCATAACCAAGAAAGGCACTAAGATTGAAACCACCGTTTACTAGGCCTCTTCTGCTGGTTTTCACCGGCAGCCTTCTCAGAGCTCTGCTTGCTGGAGAACTTAGACCTGTATTGTTCAATCAGCATGTCAAGCTTGTCTGCTACACCCTTCCCCGCAGCATGGTCTTTGTTCTTCTTCGGCCGTTTCCTTTGCTCTCTACTGTCCTCCCCATTCTGCTGCTGCTTCTCCCACTGCCTTTTCCGATTACCAGGTTTCGACCTAAGCTCGTCTTTCACAGTAACATCGCCTTTATCTGAATTTGCCAGAGAAGTCTTCCTGCCTTCCTCCTCTGCTGCCTTCCGTTTAGGGCCCTTCTTTGCTTTGAGTTTGGTGCTGCCTTTGGATGTACCAGCTTCTTCTGCTTCTATGTTGTCTTCACTTCCTGGATTGCTCTTGTGCTTCTTGAAAGGTCTTTGCTCTCTTAAAGAAGATACACCGGAAGCACTAACAGGTTTTCTCTGAGATACACGGTTCTTGAACCTCTCTTCTCTACTTGGATCTTCTGTCTGGATTGCACCATTATGTTGCACATTCTCTGGATCACCACCATGGCTTTGCTGATTTTGGAATTGCATCTTGGTATTTCGCAGTTTCAGAGTCTGAACATTGTCGAGGGCAAATTCCACAATGGGACGATGCTCCGCACCAAAACTTTCTGCCGAGTGCCACAATGGTTAAAAAACATTGGGTTACATTGTCAAAAAAGAAAACATTAGGTTACCAACAAATTTGCTAGCGAAGTGAAGGACCATACTACCAGCAAGAAAAACTACAAATGGAACTGCTTTTTACCAGGATTGTTATTGAGAACCCTCAAGGCCACCAGAGCATGCTGATGCTCTGTAAATTCCAAGAAGGCTACTCCTCTAGATTGGCTCACAACTTTCCCCTCCTTCAATCTCTTCAACAATTTCACCTGTGTGTTTACTTGTTGTGTCAAACATAATCTAAATGCAAAAATTAATCTACAATAGCGATGAGATATACATAGTTCTATGAGCTAACCTGTTTAATTACAGGTTTTTGTTTTGTAGCTCTTGAGATAACTGCCTTTATGCAAAGTTTCTTCAGGGCCATTTCAGTCATTGTCTTGGGTACATTGTAAATAATTAATCTCGTCTTCGACACATGGAAATTGGGAGATTTAAGTTTAATCGTCTTCTTTTCCTGCAGACTGCAAAAAGAGCATTAAGAAATTTAAGTGAAAACGATAAAACTCCCAGTAAAAAAAGAGCCAGTGAAATAATATGAAGAAAAAGTTGGCCACTAAATCAATCAATAGCTTATGATGCACAATCTCCAAACTATGTGGGCATCGAATTCACCGATTTAACAAATGATATATTTTCACTTGTTGATTTCAAAATTTTGTTGTAAAGGGAGGCACTTGAAAGGTAAGTTTTTTACCTGAATACCCTCACTAACACTTGTAAAGGTAAATGAATGGATTTCAAAAGCCCACATGTAAGGGAATTTTTCATATCAGCTGAGGACCACGGATTTTGTACCCTCGTCGATTAATAAGTCTATGAAGTTAACACCTCTTCGCTCCATCAAACAAGGGTTTGATAAAAACCTCTTCTCATGAATTTGGTGTGACAAATCCATCACCCAGATCCAACATCTTAACGACTTCCAGGTCATTCAACTGAACAAAGGAAAAGGATCATGGGCTTACCTTTTGCGCTTAGCCATATCACTAGCTGACACACCTGCTGCTGCTGGAGTCCCCTCGAGAATCAATCCTTCCTGAAGGATTCAACAAAGGATAAAATTAAAAAGGATCAGATGAAGCAAACTATTTCAGTTATAGGAAGTTTGAGTAGAAACTGACCTTGGCCAGATACAAATTGCGTTGATCTTGAGTCTCTATTTTTGTCTTAGACACTTCTTTATCGTGGGCTGATTTCTTATCCAAAGCCTTGAAGGCAGTTAGTTGTCTCCCTTTCAATGAAATCCCAAGACCAGAAGCAACGTTGGCAGCTGAAATTGCAGCAGTAGCTGCCTCCACTGTCTTGAACTTGAGAAAGCCAGTCCCTTTAGGCCTCCTGCCACACACAAAAAGAAGATTGATAAATTTTTGGGCAAAAATTACAAAAGAAGACGATGTTAGAGCATTGGGTGGAGGATCCCTACTTGGTGACCGGATGAAGAACAGGAAAAAATGACAGCACTTCTCCAAATGTAGAAAATCGTTGTTTCACTTCTTCATTGCCCACATCAAAAGGTAAATTGCTTATAAATACGGTGCGCTCCAAATCATCTTCTCCATCAGCTTGTTGAGCCTTTACTGGTGGTCTGCTTTTGCTAGCTTTTTCAGGAGAAGAAATACCTAATTCATTGTCATTGTCTCCGGCCAAACGATTGTCAGAATCCTTTCCTTCTGCAGAATCCTTAGTAGAGGAAGATGCAATCAAATTCTGGAGAACTTTTCTTGCAACTTCTGCTTCCTCTTCAAAATTTGCTTCACTGGAGACGTCTTGTTTCTCGAGTGAATCCACATCATTTGAAGTGTCACCAGTTTCCTGTGGACTATCACCACTTACACCGCCATCATCATCCTCATCATCATCCGAATAATCACTATTGCTGTCACTGTCAATCTCTCTTTCATTTTTCTGTTCTGCTTGAACAAATCAAAACATACAAGTATGACTATACCATTACTGAAAGTCTAATCCAAAAATATCAAGCCAACCAAAGATAAATTGTATTGCCTAAGATACAGATTAGGGGTAGTAAATCAGATCCACATGACTGATCTTCATGGATGATCTAAATCTAATTTGATATCATTAAAAGCAACACTCGGTAGTTAATACTGAATGCATATGTAATGGATAAACACAACATGAAGCAACTTGAACACGGATAATTTCCACCTAGTACAATTTTATCAAATTAAATAAGCTTTAGGATTAAACGCATATATAATTAGGATTTTTAGAGATCAGATTAGATCAAGCCACCATCTTTGATTGAGATTTGTAGACTCATTATTTGGTTTAAAGTCAATGTTATAATAGGAACCGGAAACGGAAGAATGCAAACCCCTAAGCTCAAGTGATAGATTGTGACTTCATAACCAGAGTATTTGTACAAAACCAACTTACCACCTATTGAGGTTGTAGAGGCATTAGCACCACTATTGTATATTTTCTTTGGAACAGCCCAGTCAACGGCTATGGGTCTTTTACCAAACTTGTATCCATTAAACTTTTGAATGGCCTAATAGAAAGTGACAAAGATACAAATGAAAATAAGAAACAATGCAGAAATGTTGAGTTGCAGAAGTCACAAAAAAGCAGAATCCGTAAATCATACATTTTCAGCGTCCTTTTTGCATGTGAACTTCACAAAAGCAAAACCCTTAGGCAACCTGCACAAAGCCGAGTTGTTTTCTAAGAATAGAGTTTCTGGCATTTTGTTAGAATAAAGAGTGCTGAGCTAACAGACACAAACCCAGTATCAGAATTCTGGGGCACAAAAACATCCCAGACGAAGCCTGCTGATGAAAAGACTTCTTTTATCTCGTTCACCTTTGCCTGCATTCATGGCCCATAACATAGTTAACAAACAATGTAAAAGAAGCATGAATAGCAGAACAGCATTAGATTCCAGTGAAGAAGCTATAACCTGGAATGGCAGATTCCGGATAATAATTTTCCATTTCTGAGCCTTAGAACCCTGGGCCACAAACACAACAAATTAAAACTTGTGGTTTATTTCACACTGTTTTCTTTCTTTCATTGTTCCCCAAAGCTAGGGCTGACCATTGTTTTAGTATCGGTAAAAAATCAGGTAATTCAGGGCTCACCTCCCCACCTAGTTGCCTTGCCCATACAGTCCCTCCTTTAAGCTGTTTGTGGTGTAGGTTTCTCACACAAGTGCGAGCTTCTTTAACACTAGTAAAGAGAACAGCAGATGCATTCATCCTGCATCCATCTTGCGTCAGACCTGGGAGATTCACATTGACATGTTCATCTTAGAGACTAAACAAGGTAGATGCAAAGCATATTCAACGTATAGCACAGCCAAATATGCAATTTTTCCCCCCACCAGATCTAGGAACATTCAGGATAATGCTGACAGAAGCTTATCATCTGTTAATGTATGAATCCTAATGGACGAATGAATTGGATAGAGAGGTGATCATACGAGTATAAGAGACTCTTAGGGAAGTAAAACACAGCAGAACCACATAGAGATGAAAACAGTTAAGACCAATGTCAAGGTTTACTGGAATGATCCACGGGTAAAGAGGAAGAAGAGGAGGGGTGAAAAGGTCTTACTATGTTGCCCAAGAACCTCCCGCGAAAGAGGATAAGTTATAGAACAAACAGTGCCAACCGTTTTGGCAAGAGCATGAATATCTTCTGCCATAGCATCATCAACAAGACCACCAAATATCACAGTCCTTGCAACCCTTCGCAAAACAAATGAAACAAAATGAAAATGTCTGGATTTCTTTCATCGAAGAGCTATTTATGGCCACAAAAGAGTAAAACTCTAACAGAGATTGTTGTAATTATTTGGTATTTAAGAATTTCAGATAGTATTAGACAATATACAGACCAGGAATTAGCATTTATATTATCATATGCAGGACACAATCAAGTACAGATGATACAAAATCAGAAGCTGGCTGCTCAATCTTAACACAGAAACCCATTTTAGAACCGAAAAAGAAGTATTCATGAAATTCAGCTACATTTAGTCTCAATGTTTCCAAATAGGTAAGACCCACATACTCTCAATGTACCATCTTTCATATCCATAAGGTATAGGTTTGCAGCACCATGATTAAAAAAACAGAACCTCGAATGAATTTCAAATGAGATAATTGTGATCAGTACCTTTGCTTTTCAGAACAAGTCACTTTATCATTGAGTTCATTCCAAACTTTCACTGACTTCTTTGTTTCCTTTGGTTTTCCTAATTATCAGTTTAGACATCAGATTGAAATGAATAAAAAATCCATGAGAAAGCATTATGTAGAGAATTTGTACAATGTTGTAACCTGATTCCAATAAATTTGAAGGAATCACGTCCACTGAAGAGATAACAGTGCCTTTATTGTCCTTCACCTCATCAGCATCTGCATCAACTACATCCTTTACCTTGTTCCCATCCAAATCACTAACATTCTTGGCCTTTTTACCATCTGAATCAACTACAAAGCAGAAACCCAAAAAAGTATTACCACCATACACACATACTAGCTCAACAGACATTACAAATTGTAGGGTCTGAAACCAGAATGAAATAACCAACCTTGAGTTGCCTTCGCCCGACGCTGTTCGAGTGAAGCACGATGTTGAGCATGTTTGACAGCAATACTCCGACCTCCAATAGACACTGCATTCTTCAGTTCAATTGCACGGTTCGCATCCTCTGTAACAGCACTGCAGATGTACTAAATTAACATCAGAGAAGATGCAAGAACTATGCATAAGTGCATCCCCTACTGACATCTTGAGTTCATTAGTCAATCACCAAACCTAGAATACGCAGTGTAACTTACAAGTGAACGAAGGCAATACCACGGTGCTCAGATGATCCTGTGAGTCACCAGAAAACAAGAAATTAATAGGCCAAATACTCTGGAACGCATTTTAAGTCCTGGCAAAGCGATGATGCTACACAGCCACGTCGAAGATGTAGAAGGCTAAAAATGTTTGCTACTTCAACCAATGACTTCTACTCATAGCAAATCTCCTCTTACCCTTTTGTGTAACCATAAAGCACCGCCTGATTGGACCCACATCACTGAATGCCTCTTCAAGCTGAAACAAAAGTCAAAATGACATCCTTTGATAAGCATGCAGCAAACGTGAAACCCACTTCTTTGGAACCGAAGGATAAATTGAACAATTCTGATCTCTGTCTGATGGATTTTCAATCTTTAGCTGGTTCCAGGGAAAGCAAACATGAAAAGCAGAGGGTGGAGGAAACCTACCTGTGCATTGGTGAAGGAGTACGGCAAGTTAGAAACGAAAACAGTATTGGGGCTGTGATCGTTTTCTGAATCCTTAGTTCCATCTTCTCTAGCTTTTCCCTTGTTTCCCATTGGTGTATAGTCAGCAAGCCCGAGAAGGACTATAAATTTTCCTAGAAAAGGTGGGAGACACAAGGGTTAGCAGAACGAAAACGAACCAAGCAACACTTGAAGGAAAACAATCGACTAAAGGGGGAAAATGGCGAATGCTAGAGGCGGCACGAACAGGAAGTTTATAGATATAGCAGAAGTTCGACAAAATCCCGAACACACAAATATTGACCAACAGTAAGAAAGCAACTCGTTAAGACTCAAACGAACTCAGAGAGGAATGAAAAAGGGAGCTCGACCTCGAGGACCAGTGATTGGAGTAGACAAAGAGCGCCGCTGGTGGAAGGGAAACCTGAAGAGGCTGGCGGCTATCGCGGCAAGCTAGGTTGAGAAAAGTGATGCAGCCTTTGGGACAGGTTGAGTTTCTAAACGGCCTTCGAGTCGGCCAGGTAGTTTGGTCGGTTGGAGGTTGAACCGGAATCGGCCAGGCACCTTAAGGTTGGCTCGGGGCGCATGGCAGCGGCTAAACGGTAGTGTTTTGATAATTTGGTTTGATTAATTTGGCTAATTCGGAAGATATTAGACTTGAGATTAGGGTTGCAAATGAGCCGAGTTGTTCGCGAGCGGCTCGGCGTTCAACTCGATTAAAGCTCGTTCGAACTTGAGATTAGGGTTGCAAATGAGCCGAGTTGTTCGCTAAGCTTTGTTCAGCTTGTGAAGCTCGCGAGCTAGCTCGACTCGGTGGCTTGTTGAGTTAAACTCGTGAGCTAGCTCGTTTAGAGCTCATGATATGTCTCAACATGTGGCTAGAGAGCCAACTCGATTGCCGACTTATGGACGAATCAATATATATCTTATGATTTTAATTCATATAGTTGTTCAATTATATATCTCACCATATATAAAATTTAACACGTTGAGTATGTGAGCAAATATATCTTATTTTCTACGTTAAAAAGAAATTATGTATCATAGATTGATTAGATACTATGAAATAACATGATTTGGAGTAGTTAATATTTATTAACTAAATGATATATGATACCAACAAAGTATAATATGAGATTAGCTAACAAAATAAATCATATGTATCATGATATACAAAATGAGGTACCAAATAAAAGTTAATATTTTAGTAAACAAACTAGCTCGAACTCGACTCAACTCAGTTCGTTAATAAACGAGCTGAACTCGAGCTCGACTCGTTTATTAATGAGCCGAACTCAAACTGGGGTAAAACTCGACTCATTTGCAGCCCTGCTTGAGATAGAATAACGTACAATTTGTTATTGGCAACCCCTATGGTAAGTAACTTTATGGTTAACAATAATGTGTAACTTGTCACATCGCTATTTATGGAAAGCCCCTAACATTTTGCCTTATGAATTTTAAAAATTATATCTCTTTCGTTTTAAATCATAATTTAAATTTTTTTACACAGATAATCAGATTATTATGCTTTCAAATTAATATTCACATTGATATATTTTGGAAAATAACAATAATTGAGACATTTAGTATCAGTCTATATCATGCTGGTAAAACTTGGTATTACACAAGACCATACCACGTGGTAAGAAAGTGTAAAATGGTGGTATGAACGTACTATATTGTAGAATGGTTGAATACATGATAGTAAGAATATACGAACTGTCATTTATCACATTCATCATTGTTTACCACTAGTTACCACATCTATACCATAGTGGTATGGGATGGTATATTTTGGTCATGTATTTAATTATCTAGAAATTTATAGATCCAATAGATCACGATGAACTTGTTCCTTCTGTTTAAAAATTTTCAAATTCGAGTTGAAAACGAAGGTGGTACCATGTGGTACCTAGGTGGTAATGAGTGGTATGAAGAATGACGAAGATAGGAGACAAATAAGAAAGATAAACTAAGGAAAATTAAAAACCATTAATTCTCACCACTTAGATTTGAACTTTTATTGTCCCACTAAAATCTAAGGTCTAGATCTAGTTATGAAAGGGTGCATAACCCTATCCCATACTGTTGTTATACTAACATTAGATTTCATTAAGGTCATAAGAGTAAATAATCTCAAATTATTATATAATAATAAAATTAGGGAAAAAGATGGTAGAAGCATTTCAAGTACTAAATTTTATTTCCAAAAAGTTTCGCCCTATGTGTTTTATGAGACTCATGTATGGTTGTTAGTTCATGATTGAGTCCAGTATCTTGTTGTTCCTACCCAACCTAACGGGATTATCACCTCAACCTAGGTCTCAAAATCATCACTACATGACATATAACATACAAACTATATTCACATGCACAAAATTCATGTAATAAAGAAGTATGAATGCTAATTGAACTCAAGTACATCATTGATTAAAATATATCATTCATTACATAACAATACTATAGTTAGGGTTCGGGAAATTAACCCAAGTATCTTAAATTACTACACATGAAGGGGAAGAAAAACACATAGGGATCGTTTGGATTAAGAAATGCTTAAATCAGGGATTTAGGTCCAATTCCCTAATTTAAAAATCTAGAGATTATAAGTGTGGGTTTTTGGACAATTCATTTGTTTGTTTACGGGCTAGGATTTTATTATCCAGGAATTTAATTTTTCATGACAAATATCAAAATACAACCTTGCCCTTCTTTTATCACAGAATGAAAACCCTAATCCCTAAACCCTCTTTTCTTCCTCTGCAATTTCTTCCGCCGTCCAAGACCAACTAAACGCATGGGAAAATTTTCACCTAATCAATCACCTTCTTCCTCTGCAATTTCTTCCCCTCACCTAATCAATCACCTTCATCACGCATGGGGGCCCCTTTATCGTTGGACTTGCGACCCCTCTCAAGCGACGGCGACGTCGTTCTCCTCAGTGGTCGACCCAGATCCTCGTTCCCCTTCCTGGCTTCTTCGATTCGCGATGGTCGAAGGAGTTTGATTCTCGACCCAGTCGTCGTCGATGGAGGCACTCATAAGGGGAATGGATTAGTCGACGGAGTTGTTGTGGGCTCGTTCGGAAACGGCTGACGGAGATGGAGGAAGAAGAACAAGATGTCGACGTTTTTTGTGGCTCTGTTTGCTAGATGGCCAACGGATCTAAGGGAGAGAGAGGAAGATGTTGTCGACGACGGCGGCTTTCTTCGTGAACGGCTGGCGAATATGGGGAGGGAGAAGAAGCCGACGAGTTGTGACGGAGGGAGAGAAGGGAGAGAGCTTCTCGCAAACGATGAGAGGTAGGTGTGTGAAAATTGTGAGTAAGGGTAAAATTGGATTAACAAAAAATGAGTAGGGACATGCTGACAGAAGTGAATAAATTGGGGCTGGATTTTAAAATACTTGGAGGGTGACAGCTATTTCTAATTCCGGGCTGGGCCGGATTTTAAAATTCTGTGTGGCCCAAATCTTGCATTATTTGAGAGCTATCCAAACAAAGGAATGTGTTAAATTCCTGGACGGGCCAGGAATTGGGCCAAATCTCTGCCCAATTTCCCTGATCCAAACGACCCCATAAAAGAAGGAAAATCATGAAGATAATTAGCCTCCTAGCTGTAGGAAATCTTCTTCTCTAAACTCTCCTCTTTTTCAATCTCCTTCTTCTTCATAGGAGAAATCCTAATTTCTCTCTCTAATATCTTTCAAAAAATCTGGCTAAAAATTATGCACACTAAACCAGTAGGGGTCTCCTCTTATTTATAGAGATTGAAAATCCATCGAAATTCACAGCCATTTCCAGAAAGTTCAAAGTTGTGCAGACCAAGGTTGTCACGCGATCTCAAAGCGTCGTCGCTTTGACTTGTTCATGAAGTGGGTTCACGAACTAGATATCCCAGTCGTGATGTGCGAACCGCGATCGTGATCTTTCTCGCGGTTCGAGGCTGGAGGCTCGCAAGTGAAACCGCAAGACCATACCATCTTTTTGGCCTCCTGGCCGCAAATTCACAACCGAGGGATCAGAGATCCCGATAGTGATCTTCTGCATGTCACGTGATCTCGGGTTTACGGCTGGCTAATCGTGACTGTGATCTTCTTCATTTTGTGTGCCATCTCTATTTGCCACATGCAATCTCCCCACACTTGAGCCTTGAACTTTGCCATATGTGACCAACACACAAATGATCACCTAATATTAACCATGCATGTTCCAAGAAGCAATAATAGGCTAAAATGCCGGTTTAACATTCTTTAATGCGCAATTGGGCATGAAAGCACCAAAATATATGGAGGTGAATAACACCAATTTGAGTGTTATGACAATACAAATGGATATGACTTACATTAGAAACCAAACTTATTTTCATTACAAATTACATAAAATAAAAATGAATATGACCTGCATTACAAACTAGACTAATTTACTCTACAAACTATTGGTATTTTGCCATCACAATTTATGACTACTTACAGTGGATATGATTCACATTACAAACCAAACTAATTTACACTATAAACTTCTAACAGTACAAATGTATATAACTTACTTTACAAACTAGACTTATTTATATGACAAACCATAATTTTTTTCAGTTACAGATTATGTCTACTTACAATACAACTGGATATGGCGAATTACCTTATCTTATAAATCAGATTGCTTCTCTCTCTAAGACATTATTCTTCCTTCTCTAGACAACTTCTCTATGTCATTACAAATTATGACTACTTAGAAGGGATATGACTCACATTAATTTACACTATAAACTTGACTATATGAAACTTCTTCTAACTTTACAAAACTTGTTTTATCTCATTTATTTTTCTATCATAAACCAAACTAACTTACATTACAATTACAAGTTATGACTACCTGGGTCGTTTGCTTCATAGATTTGAAAAATGAAGGTTTTGGTAAAATTTGGGCTTTGTAAAACCATAGATATATGAGAATTATGGGTTCATTATGAACTTGAAAAATACCATTGTTTGTTTCATAGATTTTATGATGGAATTAGTTAATTAGATTTGTATGTTCTATTTGCCCGCAGCTCTCGTTTGATACCGGATAAAGCAAATCTTGGTTTTCGCTTCCCTTGCGATGGACCTGGAAGAGGAGGTACATGTCAAGTATCCGCTTGGGATCATGTCTTCTTAGGGTTATTTTGGATGTACAATTCCATTTCGGTCGTAATTTTCCATTTCAGTTGGAAAATGCAGTCAGATGTTTGGGGTAGTGTCAGTGATCAGGGGGTGGTAACTCGGGGAATTTTGGACACAAGTATTCGATTAGTTCGGACTTGTTTAGTGTTGAATTGGGACCAAAACAAAAAAGGTTCTTCTATCGAGGAAGCCCGCGCTTCTTTTGTTGAAGTAAGTATAAAAGGTCTGGTTTGTAATTTCCTCAAAATCCGCTTATTGAAATCCCATATTTCATATATTAGCAAAAAAAGGAATGATCCC